GCCCTCTGCGACCCAAAGTTAAAAACTGTTGTTCTTTTGAGGCCCTCAAGGTGGCGCTGTGGCCCACAGGTTAAGAACCTCTGGTTTCCAGTAACAGCACATACTGACCTTGTCTATACAGGGTTTAACTCCCACCATGATGCAGTCACCAAACACTTTGCCATCTTTGGACAGGGCTTTCCTCGCCTGCAGTTTGGACTGGTACTGCAGGTGCATCCAGTTCCCAGGACACGCCATCTGTACAAGAACAGGTCCATCAGTTCTGACAGGCTGTCTGACTTTAACATTTAAACCAAAACAACCAAAGCTTCACACAATGAACTCACAGTTTGTCACATTTACTGTCAGTCAGTTTAAATAAACTGAATTCAGTATCTTTTTAAGTTTAATTCTTACTGGTTTTTAGACCAGACTGATTTTAACAAGTGTTTCAGGGGTTTTCAAACACAATTTAAAGTAAATGAATACAGATTCCAACAAACAGGACAAATAAAGAGCATTTCTACTCTGCTGCTCCTCACAGGCAGGCCCAGGCCCAGGCCCCAGGCCTAGGGCCCCAGGCCCAGGCCCCAGGCCTAGGCCTAGGGCCCCAGGCCCAGGCCCCAGGCCCCAGGCCCAGGCCCCAGGCCCAGGCCCAGGCCCCGGCCCCAGGCCTAGGCCCAGGCCCTGGCCCAGGCCCAGGCCCCAGGCCTAGGCCCAGGCCCTGGCCCAGGCCCAGGTCTAGGCCCCAGGTCCCAGGCCCCAGGCCCAGCCCCAGGCCCAGCCCCAGGCCCAGGCCCCAGGCCCAGGCCCCAGGCCCAGGCCCAGGCCCCGGCCCCAGGCCTAGGCCCAGGCCCTGGCCCAGGCCCAGGCCGCAGGCCCAGGTCTAGGCCCCAGGTCCCAGGCCCCAGGCCCAGCCCCAGGCCCAGCCCCAGGCCCAGGCCCCAGGCCCAGGCCCCAGGCCCAGGCCCAGGCCCAGGCCCCGGCCCCAGGCCTAGGCCCAGGCCCTGGCCCAGGCCGCAGGCCCAGGTCTAGGCCCCAGGTCCCAGGCCCCAGGCC